AGTAGGAATTTTAGGGAAGACTAAAAAGTTGAGTTAGTATTTTTCTGACAGGGTCTCTAGCAATTTCCTTGATAGGCTTGGTTTATTAGGCCTTTGCTTAGATTAGCCCTGATTAGATGAGCTGCAGCGAATGAGCTGATCTGAGCTGGTATTTTCCCAAATAGAATGTGTTTTACCTAATTTATGTCCTTGGGATACAATCTTTCATTCCACTGATCAATACAATAGTTATTAGATCAACAATAGAAACTTTAAATTCCCAGAAAAACTCACATTAACTAGATTTTCTGTTCTTTCCTACACACACAATCAGCAGATTTGGCATCGGGATTGACTGGGATGTTTATCTCCAATGGTACAAAGGCCTATATCTAGGTCTGTTGCCCAGAGGTGCAGACAGTGAGAGGAGAGGCAAACCTACCTGGAAGTACCTTTGCCCACTTCACCACTTGAATCATCTGCTTGCCTGCCAAACGGTTCAGAGTGGAGAGCAGATTTTCAGCGGTGTCTGGCTTTGAGCTGTCATAGCCTGCATACACGATTTCGGGCTCGATATTTTCAAGGATCATAACAGGGGAAGGCGTGAGGGCCCGTGTGATTGTGGAGAGCTGAGGAACCAGCGCGGTGTTGACAGAAGGCTCTTTTGCAGGAGCAATGTACGTTGTCCCTTCTTCGGGACTCTGGGGTGGTGGCGGTGGGGGCTGCTGCGGCTGTTCCTCGTGAATCCCTTTTAACTTGCCCAACTTCTTTGACTTTCTTGCTGTTAAGAAAAATTAAAATAGTTATAGGTACTAAGGGCAAATTCAAATTAGGCTTGGAACACATGGATGTCAGTCAAACATTGATTGTATTGGATGACGCATACTTTTCTTCTGGTCCTTCTTCAACTTAAGGGAGCTTTACTGTTCCCATTATTTTTGAAAAGAAAATACACAGTCCAGTTTTTATTAGTTGAGATATTTAGGAGACCAAATGCGTCCCTCCAGTTATGTTCCATATTTTTATTGCGTGTCTGTGAGATACATGACATGGGAACCAAGCTTGTCTCATCAGTGAGACCCTAGTCAAACACTTTTCAGGTTAGTGAAGGACTTAAGAAATGTATTGCCAAATTTGACTGTAAGACCGATAAGGATAGGTACCATGATTAAAATGATAACAGCTAAAAGTTTCAGAGCATATACTAATACCTTGCACTGTTCCACGGATATTATATAAATCTACCATCTTGGCAATTTGTACGGGTAGTTAGTGTTCTCACTGTAGGATGAGGAAATGAAGATCAGAGAGGAGAAGAAATCTAAGATCTAAGAAATGCAAGGTCACACAGCCCTGGCAGGTAACATACAGATAACGAGTTCAGAGGAAGAACAAGTTGCTAATAAATTACTTATATTACAACTAAATCTGATCTAAACTAATAGTTCCATCTTGGAAGAAGACTAGCCAGAAAGCTCCCTAGAAGCCAAGTCGATGAGACCTCATCTGAAATACTGTGGACATGTTGTCAGGAGAGAGCAGTCCGGGAGAAGGACATCTTGCTTGGTAAAGCAGAAGGGCGTGGAAACAGGATGAGCGTTAAGAAGACGACTGACATGGTGGCTGCAACAGTGGGCTCACGCCTTGTAATCGTGAAGGTGGCCCAGGACTGGGCCGTGTTTGGTCAGCTATATGGGGCCACTATAAGTCAGAATTGATACAACAGCACAATAGCAACATCAGCAACAATGACAACACTTCCCATCTGATTAATTTATTATGTTAATAATAATTAACATAATAATTTATTATGTTAATATGTCTGATTAATTTATTATGTTAATACTGTCTCTTTCTTCTAACTAGCTCTCCCCAGTCCCTTCCCTGGGCCTCATTGGTACTTAGCTACTATGTACTCTGCAGTGGTGTCCATAAGAAATCACTCTTTATGAATGATATTTTACCCACATGCAACTAGCTCTAGACTCCCGGGTATACTGTGAATACAAAGACGGGGTGTTCCTCCCCTTCTACAGCCCACACAGGGTCTTGGAAATATTACAGCTAGAGAAAGTGAGTCATCAATTCCTGCTGAATAAACGGCAGAGCAATCAAGCTGAACGCAGCCCCTGCAACAAGAAGGAAGAAATGAATTCCAAATTGGAGAGCTAAGTTGTGAATCTGTAAGAGTTAATAGTTATACAAACAAGCAATCCAGATCTAAGTTACACCAACATGCACACTCCCCTGCCTTCTCTCTCTCCTAAAATCTGTTCCATTCTCTATTTTTAAATAAAACTAAACAATTTACATTTGATACAGTGAATGGAAGAAATTATGTAAAGGAGCTGACAGAAC